GGGGGGGGGAATAATTTCTGGGGGTGCACCCCCCCAGAAAATCTGTGCCTGGTAGTAGAGCCCATTGAGGCAAAAAATATCATTGATCTGCCCATTGTGGTAGAGCCTATTGGGGCAAAAACTATTGATCTGATCTGCCCATTGTGGTATAGAGCCCATTGAGGCACCAACTATCTGATAAATATGGATCAAAATAGCTATTATTACGGTCAAAATGTTACATAATACCTAAAGCAATCAGAAGCTGCATACCTAATACCCAAAATTAGTCATAACATTTAAGTAAATATACAGTATACTCAAATTAAATACCTATTAGATTCCGTATACCCAAAACCCCATGGCCAACCCTACAGACTGATCTGCCCATAATGTGGTGAAGCCCATTGAGGCACCAACTATCAGTGATCTGCCATTATGTGCAAAGGCGATGAGTTTATAGTGTTCCATTTCTAGATGTTTATAGCTTTAAACAAATGTGGAAAGTTGTTAAATCAGGTTTAATATTAAAGATTCCTAGAGCAACCCAATGTGGATTATTGTCTGCACATATATTGACTTACCAGCAATTACATGTAATATTACTAACATTTTAACTGACTTTTTGTATAAGATCTGAGATATGTCCATTGTTAGCATAATATGAAATAATTCTAGTGGCCTACATATGGCTGTGTCACTACAATAATGCTCACAATTTCTTTCTTATTATATATTTTTTCAGTTCTGACTGAGTCAGACTGACTCATTTCAATGAATGGTGTTATCTGAAGCATATTGGTGTTGGTTGGGCATCTGAAGCATATTGGACCCGCAGTAATTGGCAATAAGCTGTTGCGGTGACCCGGCCACACTGTTTTAATTGTTATATTAAACAGAAATGTCAACAAATAGATTTTGTCTACCCATCAGCAAATTGTTCGGTTGTTCCGTGATAGGGGTAGCCATGAAGGTGGCATTACATGTAAAACGATAATTGGAACAAAAACCGACTTTATAGTATTTTTATATAAACATTGTTCTGTATTCAGTGGCAAGCTCACACATGTGATCACCAAGTTTATACTTTATAGTGCACTTTTTATAAGATGAGATGTAAGATACAATTGGACAAGGTAATTGATGTAGAACAATGTGTAAGACATTAAATCATACATACAGTGAAAAAGACACTTTTTGGTTGTAGTACATCCTGCATGTACATATTGGCAGCATTTTCCGTGCAATAGTAACTCCTAGTTTAGTAATATTAGTCTCTGACTGGCGACATAATAATTGTTCAGCATTTTACTTGCACTAGCACAGATATACAAAAACTTAGCCAGCAAAACTTTCACCACATATTTCATTATAATTCTTCATAATTAATGAATAATATTGAAATATGTTCAGTGAAATATTCTTTCCACATTTGTAAATCAAAGAACTAACATTTTAAAAACATAATTTTATCTTTAATTAAGTGTTGAACCATTAATAATTAAATAATACTTCCGACTATAAGACCATATAATATATGAACTTTACATTAAATACCTGTCCAAAATAGCCAACACAAACTGGGCAGCTTTCTGTTCTGCATCAACCTTCTTACTCTGTGGACTCGTATCTGGCGAGAACCATCGGCCACCATACATCACTTCAGACAAAAACCCAGCATCTGTCTTTTTCTCTGAATTGTAAATAGGGTTTGGGATCTTCTTCTTCTGTGCTTTTTCCTGTAACAAATTTTTATAGTTTTTGTCCTTTTGTTGAGTCAACTTATTATCCATGACCTGATGCTCAGTTGACGGGGAATCATTCTTTTCATTGGAAACCTCCACATCTTCATTTCCTAGAAACTTTAGTGCCTCCTCCGCTGCACTTTGTTCTGCCTCTTTCTTTGATGGCTTTGGTTTAGATTTGAATTCTGTTCCATCAAAAAGAACTATGCTGACAAACATCTTCTCTTTGGTTTCATTGGTATTATATTTTGGTAAGTCAAGTTTTTTCTTCTGGGCACAGCTTTGTAGAGCATTCTTGTAAAACGACTTAATCTCATGTCCAAGTACTGAACTTGTAGGATCGCTACTTGGAAAACTTTGTCCACTTGCAAGTTTCTCAAGGGATTCTATTCTTCCTTTGAGTTCACCTACACTGATGTCAACCCTTGAAATCTCAGCATCATATTCTTGCTTCATATTTGTAAGCTTTTCATCAATCTTGTTGACTTTATCATCAAACTTCTTTTCCAGGTCCTTGTTTCCTTTGATTAATTTCCTAAGCTTTGACATCATGCTCTCATTGTCTTCATTGATTTCCTCTCCTGAGTCAGCAGCCAATGCATGACTTTCCAATGCAGTCTCTATGCATACGTCTTCATCGTTTGGCTTCAGCTCAAACTTACTATCTTTTAATGATTTAATTAACTTGACCTTATCTTTACTGACTTTCAAATGCTTCAATTCCTTGTCATCTTCAAGAAGTGCAATGACCTGATCAACCATGCCCTGCATCTTTGCATCACTGAACGACATTGTCGCACAATGCATCAGATCATTTCTCACTGTTCTAACATGTTCAGGCAACTTTTTATCCTTTAAATGTTTAAGCGTGATTTCTTTACAATTAACAAGAATATTCAACATTCCAGACAGGTCAGTCGTATCAGGCCCTGTGTTTGCAGCTGCAGTGGCTTTTGCACCCTGGGCATTCATGAAGCACTTCGCAATTTCCCAAGGAAGGTTGTGCCATTTTGTTGGGTCTGTATTTTTCCATTGTAGCTGCCCGTTGCTTTGCTTTTTTATTTCAATCACCCACTGGGCACAGCTAGGGCAAGATGGTGCTTTCCCAGTGATACCACCGCCTTTTCTTGTGTTGCAAGCAGACGTCGCAGTACATGTGCCCGAGCCTAGCCTGGTTTTAATATCATTATGAATGGCGACAATCACATTTTTACTGAAGTCATGAAGAGCTTCCTTTGATTCAATCAGTGCAAGAGAAACCTTGAGCCAATTCTTATATCCCGAGTCGTTCAAACGTTTCTTCCACTCATCGTCGCCCATAACTAGTGTTTATTCTCAGATATTTGAATACCGATATATGAGAATTGTCTGATATTTTAAGCGCAAAGCTGTGCTATCAACAAAAAGACGCTAAAGTCAGACAAAAGGCTTTTAATACAGGTATTCTGGTTTCACTTTCACACTAACCTGAGTATCAGGCCGTACTTTTTAGGGCACAGGCACGCCTGATCGTGGGCGAAGGGGAGAAAAGTACGGCCTGACACAAAAGTGGCATTTTGCCTGGTTGTTCAGTCCAGAATCTGGACTGAGCGCTGATTGGCCGATTAGACAAACGATTTTTAAATCTGTCATTTGATTGGCTGGTGCTAATTAGATTATACTATTGTTGTTGATATATTTTATAATTATAGCTGGCCCACTAAACGGCTGAATTTAAATTAAAACTGCAGTAAAATTAGAAAATAATCGCAAATTAGCGAAATATATTGCAAATGTAGCTTATATTAAATCGCCATCAGATTGCACTATCGACTGACGTATAGTTATAAAGTATATATATATACTTTATAATTATACGTCAGTTTGTTGATAAATACGGCAAGCGCCATGTAAAGCTCATTTGTAGTCACTGAAACCTCTGCGGAGGAGAGAGCAATCGGATGGCGATTTAATATAAGCTACATTTGCAATATAATTCGCTAATTTGTGATTATTTTTGTTAATTTTATAAGTTCATTGCAGTTTTAATTTAAATTCAGCCGTTTAGTGGGCTGCCTATGCTATAATTAGATTGTTGTTGTCATTGTGTGAAATTTAAATTTCTCCTGGGACATTTTGATTGGATACTAAATATAAACTTTGCTGTGGGCGGAAAGCGATCAGGTTAAGTT